CTTAGAAAAAAAATTATTTCCCTTGGATCTGCCACAAACTAAAGCGATATCCATGTCTCTTTTATGAGGCTGTGGAACAGTAACCTTTAATGTTTAAATATATTAGGTTTTCCGTTTTGTAGTTCTAATGTGCAGCTGTCACATTAGAAATAAACAACATTATAAATAGCAAATATAGCAGCCATCATGGTGGTGCAGCGGTTAGCATACCAGCAATGGGTTTAGATGTAGTCTGGGGCCTTTCTGTGTGCAGTTTGGATGTTCTCTCCGTGTCTGCCTGAGTCCTCTCCAGGAATTCCGGCTTCCTCCCACACTCCAAAGACATGCATGTGGTTAGGTTAATTGGCGATTCCAAATTGGCTGCGTGAATAGTTTTCTCTCTCTGTGTGTGATAGATTAGCGACCTGTCCAGGACGTACCCTGCCTCTCGCTCTATGACAGCTTGGACAGATACCTGCCTCACACAACCCCAGACTGGATAAACCGAATTATATGGATGTTTAAAAATATAATTTATTTTAGCAGTCTGTGCCTCGGTGCATTATATCCCAAGATTAATGTTTTCCTGTGGCATTAACGTCATGCATTCTTTGCAACAGTGTGAAATTTTCACCCATTTATATCACCACTTTATCCTTATCTAACTTTAACTGGAGTATGTGACACTCATAGGGATTATTTAATGTGGAAGAAGAGTCATATGACGTGTGTAACACACCTTCCTATGTGACCGTGCACGTAGCCTGAGAAGCGGAAAGCCAGTCTAAACAGAAGGTTGATAACCGCTGTCATGATATCTGTTGCATCCAACTAGGAACAACAACAACAAGGACTTTAGGTATTGTCAAACCAGCTAATGGAAAGAAAGCCTGGCCATGTTTGAACTCTTTCATAGTGCTTTTTATGCAGAGCACTGATCAGGTTCTGTCCATGAAAGTATTATACTGTATTTCTAGTACTACCTGAATTACTTTACCTCGCTAAGAACCCAAACAAATCCTGTTTTTCCTAGCTTTTTTTGGAACGTGCTAACTCGAGAGTGACCTCACTTCCAACTTGCAGTATCTGGATGGCAGCACTCATCCTTGATGAAGCCAGTCCTTGCAGAGATATTTGAGTCAATGCCGCTTATATGGAAGAAAGAACATAATTAATTAAGTTTCTGGCCTCACCAGAAAGACGTTTGCACCCGAACTCATGCCTGAAGTATGCAGTTCAGTCTGAGAGGCTTAAGATGAATACTTGAAGAGCTTTTCTAAACATTATACATAATGTGGGTGTTTTTGAAGGAGTTGTTATCTTAATCTGGACAAGCTGAACTTGTTATCCACTGCCGCACATCTGAAATGACAAAATGCCAGTGTGTGTGTGTGTGTGTGTGTGTGTGTGTGTGTGTGTAGCCGGTGCCCCATGAGGAGTGAGCTGCAGTGAAAGGCTAGTAAAAAAGAAAGGGTATCCATCCTTTTCAGAGAAAAGTACGAGGCCTCTCCCCACACTAAGCCCTGTGTTTCTCCTGCTCCAAATTACAGTCATTAGGGCATGACTAACATCCATGCATCTGCACTGGCTTCAGCCGCCAATAATCAAGACGCCTCTCATGGGAGAAGAGGGGAGTGCAACAACTTCTCGTGTTACTTCCACAGCAGAGGGAGCAGAGCAATACTAAGAAGTCTAGGATGTAGACGAGACCACCCAGCTGATCACTGTCTGTGCAGTCTGGTCACAAAGAGTTGACTCATGCCACAATTGCAACCTGCAATTTTCCATTTTACAAACAAATCTAATTTGGTGACGTACACAGTGGAGTTTCCTTAAAAAATAAAAAAAATTTAAAAAATAAGTAACTCTTTCTTTCTTTCTTTCTTCCTTTCATGAGGAAATTTATTTAGACAATAGAAATGGTTATTTAGACTTTAAAAATTCCTATCACAATTCTTTTTCTAGCAAATAAGCTTTAAACACACCATTACCTTTCAAAATAAAGCATCAAAATGCTAATTACAGAGCTGCTTTATTGCCCCAGCAATTACTAAACACCAAACCTTTGTTACAGTTGACACACAAACTCAGGGCTCAAAAGAATCTAAAATCAGAGCATTTGGGAGGATTTGTAGTGACACAGCACATCTGTGTGTATAACATATTCAGAAAAAAATCACAACCAAGACATAAACTGATTTACAAACAAAAACAGCTGTGTGCCCTTTCTACACGTCTCTCTCTCTTTCTGACACACACACACAAACAAGCGCGTGCGCACGCAAAACCTGCTGTGGTTTTTAAACCCAACCCCAGCCTGCCAGAGCAGGCATGTGTTCCAACACGCTGTTTACTTATCCTTTACAAAAGACGTCAAGCTTTGCGTTGGACAGGAGATACCTCTCTAACGCAGCAAACCTCAACGTGGTGTGTCAATACCTGCAGAGCGGCTGACA